GACGCTGTGGGTTTCAGGGTGAAGATCTTCTCTCACTACTCTAAAGGGCCCCTTTGGCAGTAGGAAACAATAGACTATTATGGAGATTGATTTTGGAATTTAGATGCACTCTTATTGATTGTGCTTGGCCGTACATGTTCATATCCTTGAAGATGTAACATGGATTGTTGCAGCCAAAAAGACACAAATTTAACTAACAAGTTAATAGTACATGAGTCAAAAATTGAAAAGCAATAGTATTCCAAGTAGAGGCTCTAATAGTGGCACCAATCAAGTTACAGAGGGAAGGTACTTCTTACAATAAAAGGTCTATTGACTAGTACTTTGTCTATTGTATTATAAAGGTTAGGAATCACAAGATGTAGAGGTTCAACTATGTCATTTATTGTTCTTAAGTCCTGGAGCAAATTCCATCTACCACTGGGTTGTTTTACAACTCAAGGCAGAGGTGAAGTAAGGAACTGCTTATGACGTATTCCGTCAATTCCAACAACTAAGAAATAGTGAGAAGAGTTAGGACCTCAGAAGGCTTTTAGGACCAGATAATAGGCTCTTGTGTCCAGGAGAAAATGAATACACTTACCAGTAATGTTAATGCTCACCCACAGCTCTTCTGGGAGGATCTAAATCATTGAAGCATCCTCCTTTGTTTCCAGATGGGAGCTGGGGCCTGTCCGTCCTGTCAGCCACAAGGACCTGATGTGGGCCACCCTTGGCCAGTTGTCCTTCAGAGTCACACTTAAAACAAGTGAATGGGAGCTTCCTCTCTACTCCCTTGCCTATCTGTGGTTCTCATCTGTGACACTGTCTACTGAAGTGGCCCAGCTTTCCACAGTGGAAGCAATTCTGACTTCCTTTATTACCTTTGGGCAGCACTGTTTATGAGTAAGACTTCCTTTTCCTGACACAGGCCCTAAACTAGCAGCAATAGCTGGATCAATAATTTTGGCCATTCTCTGGTCTTTTCTCTTTCCTCTAGATAGATCCCAGTTGTTAAAAGAGGGAAAAATTTAAACAAATGTATGACAAATAATTTTGAACATTATAATCTTTTAAGCTGAAGGCTAGAAATATTAACAATATCATCATTTCCAATCCAGAGATACATGTTCCAATGCAGCCCCTATTTTCCATAAATGGTTTTGGTAAGAGGATTATTGTAAATGTGGATACATTTCCACTATTTCTTCTCCATGCCACGATATAGTGTTATTAACATGAGCAGTTATAAATCCATTGCCATCCTTTCTCTAACTTAATTCTTTTTAAAAAAATTTAAATTTGTTATTAATTTCAGTAAAAATTTACAGAGGCTTTGGGTTTCCATTCATTCATTGTTGCACTTTTGTCCCCTCCTAAGGTTCCCCCACAGAACACTACCCTCTTGGAAAAGTAAAAGAAAAATTCTTTCATTGTTTTACACCTATCACACTTTCTAAGTGATTCTTAACACATAACCAAGTAAGGAAAGTTTTCAATGTCTTCCTAAACTAGAATATTACTGTCCTCCAGAGAATATGTATTAATTTGGCTGAGTCATGATCTTCACTTGCTTGACAGTTATACAATGTGGTAGTCATTCTTTCATGATGTGATGTGATCAGCCTTTAAATGGTCAGGAGACTAGGGTGAGATACAACACAATCAGATCACAACCCTGACTGAATGCAAGGGAAGCTTGCCTGAGTTGTGACCTGCATCAACTTCTATCTTACAAGAGATAAAAGAAGATCAAGAGGAACCAGTATTACAAGAAAGAAAAGGCAGAAGCAGAGTGTATTCTTTGCAGCCAGGTCTCCTGTGCTGAGAATGCCTTAGGCCAGGAAGATTGATATAGAGGCAAAAGTAGATTGAGGAGCGCTAGGCCCGCAGGTGTCGAAAGGAGACAAAGGTCTTCCTTTAAAGCTGTCAGAGAAAGTCCCTAAATGTGTTGCCTTTATTTTATACGTTCAGCCTAAACTGTGTCAACAACCTGTACTATGCAGACAACACAATTTTGCTTGCTAAAACTGGGGAGGACCTGAAGCGTTTGCTGCAGCAGGTAAAGGACTGTAGTCTTCAATATGGATTGAAGCTCAAGATCAAGAAGACAACGATTCTCACTTCTGGGCCAGCTGGCATCCTCATGCTAGGTGGAGAAAAGATTGAGGTTGTTAACAATTATAACTTGCTCGGCTCCACAGTCAACACCCTTTGTACCAGCAGCCAGAAAATCAAAAGATGAGTTGCACCAGGGAAGTCTCCTGTCAGGGACCTCTCCAGAGTGCTGAGTAGCAATGATGTCAATTGAGAGACTAAGGTGCACCTGATCCAGGCCATGGTCTTTGCAATTACATACTGTGCATCAGAGAGCTGGACTAAGGATGACAGAAGAACTGATGCCTTTGAGCTGTGGTCCTGGAGAAGAGTCTTGAACATATTATGGACAGCCAGGAGAACAAATAGAGAGTGAAACCAAGTTTCTCCTTGGAGGCAAGGATTTTGAAGCTCAGTATCACATACTTGGGGTATGTGGCTAGGAGGGACCAGTCCTTTGAGAAGGAAATTATGCCTGGAAGGATGGAGGGATAGTGCAGGAAAGGAAGACCCCTGATGACATGGATTGACATGGTAACTGGGACAATGGGATTAAGTGTGTTGAAGTTAGTGAGATTGGCCCAGGATAGGGAAGGATTGTTTTACATAGGGTCACTATGAGTCACAGGTGACTCAACAGCACACAACAACAGATTGTGTGAGAATGCATTTACGTTTTGTTTTAAAAAGAAAGGGAAAATCCATATAATGGAAATTTATATTTTTCTTCTTTAACTTTTTATTGTGACTTGAGTGGAAGTTTACAAGGCAAATTGGTTTTTCATCCAACAGTTTGTACACATTTTCATTCGTAACGTTGATTGCAGCCCCCACAATGTGATAGTGCTCTTTCATGTTCTCTATTTCCTAGTCCCATTCGCCCTTTCCTACCCCTTCCTGCCTTCTGAGATGTGCTGTCAAATTGGCTACAGCTTGTAGCCAACCCATAAAACCCATCCTCACAATCTCTCCTGTGCTAAAGCCCCTGCTGGAGCCCCTGGTCAATTCATCTCGCTGGAGGTCTTCTTTTTCACTATCCTTCTACCAAGCATGGTATCTTTCTCCAAGAACCAGTCACTTCAGATCACATGTTCAAGTATGTGAAGGGAAATCTTGCCATTCTTGCTTCTAAAAAACATTCTTGCTGCACTTATTCCAGGACATATCTACTTGTCTTGGCACTCCATGATGAGGTCCTGATCTCGTATGCTCAGTGGTTCTAATATGTGTGTTCCTTGCCTCATAAGCCTGTCCATTGTTATAACAAGAAAAGAGTCAGTTAAAGTGTGTAGGTTGGTGAGTGAAGGAAAGGAGTGAAAAAAAAAAAGCCCAACAACCCAACACCCAAGCAACAAACCACAACAATGTACATGAATTGAAGCACAATAAAAAAAGAAACAAACAAGGTAAGTGTCTACCACTTCTTGCCTATGTGTCCATGAGTAAGTCCCTCCACCGCTTTCCTATTCATACACCAGGGGTGGTAACAGCAGTAGCTTAGATGAGTGTTAATGGGACTTGGCCTAATGGTAAACAGTTAGGCTGCCAACTCAAAGGCAGACAGTTCAAATCCACCAGGCTATAGGAGAAAGATGGGCAATCATCTCCCATTCTTTTTACAGCCTCTGAAAGTCTACGGGAGGGTCAGCTATGAGTTGGTTCTGGCTCAACAGCACATAACAACATAACAACAATAGCGTGACTTCCATAACCCTGGCTCCCAGAACATCCCTGAGGCGTATTGGTTAGGTTGGTCCTAGATTTTTCTATGCTGTCACTGGAAACACTCTATTGTCAGCACTGGTCACAGAGGAAGCATGCTGTCTGCATTTGGGCCGTGGGTGACAATGGGCTCCCTGGGAGAGTGGTTGGAGGCATAAATTGAGCAGTCTGCAGGCTGGCTCTGCAGTGGGATCCTGGGCTTCTACTCTGTAAAAAGGGATCCTGGTGCCACCTGGGGCAGATGATGGTCATGGAGATCCTGAAACATCCGGGAAGTCCTCCCACCTCTCCTCTGTCCACATTCTCCTTCATGTGGGGGATGGGGAGCTGTCAACTCGATTTTTCAGTTAACTGTCACTTCTGCCCTCCTCTTGGGCCCGCAGCAGAGCCTGCCAGCACTGAGGCAGCTCCTGGTAATTCCCAAGGGGCCAGGTCACCAGGTACAGCCGGCCGTTGCTCTTTCCATCCTGTCCCTGTCTACTCACTCACTCTCTCATTCTGTGTGTGTCTTCTTTTAGCTGTGCTGTATCCTCTCTCCTGCATTTTCTCTCACTTTGTTTCTCTCTCTGTGTGTTTCTCTGTGTGTGTGACTAACCCCTTTGCTCTCCTGAATTCTCTCTCCTGAGTTTTCTCTCACTTTTTCTGTCTGTGTCTGTATGTCTGTCTGTGTATGTGTGCATGTGTGTGTGTGTGTGCTCTTCTGAGTTCCCTCTCCCAGATTTTCTCTCATTTTTTTCTATGTCTCTGTGTGTGGGCGAGTTGTCCCCTTTGCTGTCCTGAGTGTTCTCTCAAGGGTTTTCTCTAACTTTTTCTCTGTCTGTCTCGTGTGTGTGTGTGTGTGTGTGTGTGTGTGTCCTCTTTGCTCTCTTGAGTTTTCTCTCACTTTTTCTGTGTGTGTGTCTGTGTGTGTGTCCCCTTTGCTCAGCTGAGTTCTCTCTCACTACCCATCTCTCTTCTGTGTCCTGGGAAAAGAGTAAAGAGCTCTAGCCTACCAGAGGCTCCTGAACCCCTTCCCCAAGTACTCTGCTGAGGCATGAGATGCCTCCCCATCTTCTGCAGACCCTGTAGTTTCCTCCAGATCTCAGTTCCTCCTCACAGACCTGGCCTGGCTGGGGAACATGATGAAGTGGGGAGGTGGGAGGGTTTTGCTAATATGTCCTGGTCAGGGCTGGGGTGCTATGGAAGCCTTCAGAATTGGTGCTCAGTCTTTCCTGAAGGACAGGGACCACTCAGCAAGTTCGGAGGACATAAGGGCATACCAAGGGTTCCAGGGACAAGAGTTCAGGGTACAAAACTCAAGGTTTCCTCTCTGGACCCCCAGAGACATGGCTTTCGTCTCCCCCCATCTACCCTGATGGTAGGCTCTGCCCTTGGCCCCATGGACCCTAGGAGAAGGTCCCCGTCCACCTGCTCCTCGCGATCCCCCAGTCCCAGGACCCCACCCTGTGAAATACTTGGTTACGTGGGCATCGAGGCTGTGTTGGACCAGTTGAAGATCAAGGCCATGAAGATGGGGTTTGAGTTCAACATCATGGTGGTAGGTGAGTACAGGCTGGCCTTAGACAACAGGCACATCTCCATCAGCCCAAAGCCTCAATCTCTCCTTATGTCAAGTGGGTGTGCAGATAGTACCTCTCAGGTGTTTTCATTGAGGGTCTGGAAAATTCCCAGGAGTCATTTACAGCTAGCCTCCCCACCCTACCTGCGCCCCACCCCCAGCCCCCAGCATGAGCAGCAGGACTCCTGGATGCTCATGGCCTCATGAACAGGAAGAGGGAGTGGGCATGTCACCTACTGGGATGTTTTGTTTGTTTTTAAAGAATGCGTGTCAATGGACACTACAGTTACTGTTGATGCCTCTGATCAATCCCATCTTACTCACAACAGAGCAAAACCCTGCCCATCCTGCACCATCATCACCATCTGTGCTGTGTAATGTTGATCATCTTGTTGAAGGTCTTCCTCTTTTCTCTGACTCCACTTTACCCTGTGTAATGGCTCCTCCTGGTAACATGTCTGTCCTAGTTATTTTGTGCTGCTATGTTGGAGAAGCCAAGGGGATTGAAAGCCACAAGGGAGTGGCTTCAACAAACAGAAAATTATTCTCTCACAGTTTGGGAAATTCAGGTCCAAATTCAGGGTGTCTTCTCTAGAAAAAGATTCTCTGAGTATCAATTCTGGAGGAGGGTCCTTTTTTTCTCCAGCATCTGTACGTCTGGCTCTAAAGACAACTCTCCACTTCTATTCTCCTCTCTACTTACCTTTTCCCCTTTTTTATCTCTTATTAAAGAAAAGGTGTTATAGGCTTTTGTTGCTAAGTGCCATCCAGTCAACTATGACTCACAGAGACACTAGGAACAAAAGATCTGAACTTTGTCCTATCCTGCCTCATCCTGACCATCTCTGACGTATGTGCTCAAGCCCATTGTTCCAGTTCCTACCCTCAGAGAAACTCCCCTTACATCAGTCAGGGCTATGGTGGAATTATAATGTTGCATCCCACCATTAATCCTTTTTACAACTGTTTGGTTTATCAACTCATGGGAATCATTATGTAACTTCCATACCACATCATCACATTCATTACATTTTGGAGGGGCAAACCTGATCCTTAAAAGTATGCAAAGCCTGTGAAGAAATCTCACCATTGTCATTTCTAAGGAGCATCTTGGTTGCACTTCCACAAGGACATATGGTAAACTCTGGTTAACTGGTAATCCTTGGTATAGTGAATGTTTTGGGGGAGCCACAAAACTCCCTGCTGACTCTGCCACCACAGTACTCTGGCATATTCAGTATTTTTTTCCAAAACAATACAAAAGCATTGTGTCTTCCTAAATTTTCTTTATATATTGTCTAGCTCTTAGTCTCTAAGGTGATATCCTCAGCCTTTAGTACTTTAAAGAGGTCCTTGACAGCAGATTTGTAAGATATCTTTTAGAGATGTATTTCAAATCCAAAGGCTTACAGTAAGAAACCACCAACTGTGCCTTTGGAGAAAGATGGGCAGTCTTCTCCTGTGCAGTTTACTGCCTCTGAAAAGGCTCTGCAGAGTTGGCTATACATCAGTTTTGACAACAATGACAATACCTCATTTGATTTCTTGAATGCTGCTTCCATGCGGGTTCATTGTGGATCCAAGAAAAATGAAGACTTCAACCTTTTTTCCATTCATCATGTTGTGCCTGATGACTTTTCATTTTCACAATGTGAAAGCACATCACAGTTCTGATGACTTTTCAGTTTCACAATGTGAAAGCATAACCCATGCTGAATGAAGGTTGTAATTGTTGAGCTTCATTAATAAGTGCCTTAAACACAGAGAGAGAGAGAGAGAGAGAGAGAGAGAAAGAGAAGAGAAGAGAAGAGAAGAGAAGAGAAGAGAAGAGAAGAGAAGAGAAGAGAAGAGAAGAGAAGAGAAGAGAAGAGAAACCAAGTGCTTTTAAGCCTTTGTTTTTAGCAAGCAAAGTTGTGATTTCTTGGATTCTTGGGATAGTGTGATCTTGTCAGTATTTTTCCATTAGACTTTGAAAATAACTAAGTTTTACAAAATTCTATTGACACATTTGAGTAACAAGGTCTGCAGTGTCCACCAATCCTACTCCTGCTGTGATTCATTTTCAGGGCAGAGCGGACTGGGTAAATCCACTATGGTGAACACCTTGTTCAAATCCAAAGTATGGAAGTCACCCCTGCCGGGCTTGGGGGGCCCCATACCCCAGACGCTAAAGCTGCAGTCAATGACCCATGGTGAGTGGCCCCTCCCCTCACCCACAAGCCAACCTGCCTAGGTCCAATCTCCTGCCATCTCTTCTGCTCTCCCTCTACAGTCATTGAGGAGAAAGGGGTGAAGCTGAAGCTGACAGTGACTGACACACCAGGCTTCGGGGACCAGATCAATAATGACAAATGGTGGGTCCCATGGGGTAGGAGCCAAGCTTCTTCTGTCCTTAGCCCACGTCCATCCATTCTACTCCATCTCGCTCCACTCTTAGCCTCTTTGAAAAATGTCAGCTCTGAAGCAAACTAGTTGCAGCATCATTTAACCTCAGTATCCTTGTCTGTATTTTGGGTGTACTCAAATCCTCCTTAAGGATTGAAGGAAGTATGCCAAAGTCTATTTTTCTGCCTGGTGCACAGTTGTACACAGTACTCACTAACCCTGTACCATGAGTTGATTCTGACTTGTGGCAATCTGCCACTGGGATTCTGAGGCTGTAAAGCTTTATTGGAGATGTTTATCTTTCTCTCACAGAGAATTTGGATTTGAACCACTAAACTTTAAGTTAGCAACCCAACCCATTTGGCCTACAGTAAGTGCTTAATAAATGTCATAGTCAAGTAGAGATCCTGGACCCCACTTTTGATAGTAAGGAACCCTGGGTTGGGCCACTTTCTAGCTCTGTAAGGTGGATCAGGCCACATGCTCTCTGCACTTCAGCTTCTTTCATGGTAGTGACTTAGGAATGGCACGGCTTGAAGAGCTGTTATAGGTAGAAACTCTGACAAGGGTCCTAGTGCATGCATGCACACACACATACAACACAATATCAGAATCAGCTTAACATTTTGTGGGGTCCAAAATGCAAATTCAGTGTGGCCACGTCATTTCTAACTCAGTGATCCTGTAAGTCGGAGTAGAAACCCTAGAGCTCTCAGAGTGTGATGCAGACTGCCTCATCTTTCTCCTTCTGCCACAGAGCAGAGAATGGATTCTGACTTCCAACTCCTTGTTTAAACAATTTTCAGATGATGACAGCAGAATATGAAACCAAGTGCAGATTCTTTTAGGTGGGGTGGGAGTGTGTGGTTGTCTTTGTTTTTAATGTATTGTGTGTATGCATGTATGGTTTGAATTTTTTTTTATATTTTACAATAACCTGAGTGAAAGTTCACAGAGAAAATTTGTTTTCCCTTCAGCCATTGTTACTCATTTTGTTTTATGACATTAATTACAATCCTAACAGTACAATCACTCTTCTACCTCCTCTCTGTTTTTCTGGCTTCTATTCATCCTTCTAACTTACCCTTTTTAGTTTCTGAACGTACATCCTGGCCATATGCTGTCTTTTGACCTTATGTAGTTGGTTATTCTAAGGAATGAGTACCTCTCTGATGTTCTTGTTTATCTTTTAAAAAATTCATTTTATTATAATCTAAGTTTATAAATCTACTGAATTTTATTAAATCATTCATGCATATTTTGTTTCAAAACATTAATTACAACTGATTAATGGAAATGATTAATTCAGGGGAGCTCTGATGGCTTAGAGGTAAGGAATTACACTGCCAAACAAATACACAAATCAAAACTCCTCACATGAGATTTACAGCTTCTGAAAACCCACTGGGAGAGTCAACTATAGGTTGGTTCCTGAAAGGTTTCCACTTGAAGGTCAAGAACCACACTGAGGTATGAACACTTCTCCAAGTTTCTTGCACACTGGACTACTAAAAAACAGGTGTGATGACAGGGGTTGGCTGTAGCAAGTGTGTTATTATTCCTTTATTGATTAGTACAGTTAGGGGGGTTATGAGATGAGTTGGTGTAGCAGTAGCTCATTGGTGTATTAAGTTTCTGTGACTTTCTGGTTTTGGGAAAAGTCCTGACATGGGACTTTCTGGGTTGAGCTTCATTCTCTGTTTTTCTTTTTAGCCCAGTATTCCTGCCTCTGTGGTGGTATAGGGTGAAAGATTTTCTGGCTGCTTCCTGATGGATGGGGGCATCAGGGAGGTGGGAATGTTATGCTGTTTCATTTGGAGGGAGCAGTGTGTACTTCATCATGTACTAATGGTTTGGTTGGTAAATGCACGAAACTGCTTCTGCAAAAAAATTAGTAAAAATTTTCAGTAAAACTGTCCCACGGGTTAATGCAAGAATGAACAATATTATAGGCGATACAAAGGGTAGTTTCTATCCTATCACTGAAGGGAGAGACCAATAATTTTGATTCTATAATTATTTTTTTAAAT